GCTGGAGTCTTTTCTGTGGACGCTGGTTGCGAGATTGCCATCAGTCAGTCTTTGTACACTGACGTCAAGAAAAGGGAGGATGTCCCCTGTTGCTTCTTCGCGTGTGAATTGTATGGCGGAGAAAACACCGTTAAGACTCTGATGCAGTCGTTCAACTTCGCAGTTTTTCATGACTACGATGGTATCATCTACTTAGCGGAGCCACATTTTTGGTCTAATGGCTTGAATAACAACTTCTTATAGTCTTTGTAAGACTAGTTCTGCGAGTAGGCCCGATATCGGTGAACCCATGGGGGTGCCCTTGACCTGCTGGTAATACTTGCCATCGAATTGACAATAGTTCTTAAGACAAAGCCCAAGCATGTCTAAAACGTGCTCTGTTGGAATGCCAATCGGAGTTTTCTCTAGGCGTCGAGCTACGCTCCCAATGGCCAAGTTATGCGGCATTGAGGAGAATAGAGCAACTACATCAAACGATAAAATGCATTCATCAGGGCTTACATTAAGGCCTTGGATCCTCTAAAGGAAAGCATGAGAGTTGTTGATGCTGTACTGTCATCCATTCGTGAGATGCTTTAGGTGCTTGTACAGCCACTTGGCAAGGTTATATGTAGGCGATCCAATGAGCGGCACTATGATCCTCAACGGAGCACCTGCTTTGTGCACCTTATGGAGGCCATAAGCACGTACGATACGAGTGTCGTTGGGAGTCAGAAATTTGGAGTCCGCGGGGTTTATGAACTTTTTACGAGTGAGCTCGTTCACCTTCTTCTTTATAGATGCGGCCTGCTTTTTCGTCGGATCCTCAGCAATTGGGGTATAGGGCTCTCCGTCATTAAAGGCCTGGTTGGCCTTATTGACATAGTCAGTCTTGTCCATAATGACAGTAGCACCACCTTTGTCAGCAGATACAACAACGATACTGTCGTCTGACCTCAGGGATCGTAATCCCTTCTCCTCTTCCATCGGCAAGGTTTGCTGGTGTCATCTTTTCCGGAGGAGGCCGGTCGCACAGTTGCGTATGTCCGCACGCATGTCTTCAGGGATGGATGAGGTTAGCAGGAGGGATTCCAGGTTCGCTAAGAAGTTTGTAGGCGCAGCATCGACATGACTGAACCGTATTCCTTTAGACAATAGGCTTGATTCGGCGGGTGTAAGAATCCTTTTCGAAAGGTTGACAACTCTCGTCGATATGTTACCGTCATTGATAGGACGGAGGAGAGCTTGGAGCTCCTCTTGAAGATCGGCCCGCTTCTTCATACGAGCATGTTTGGCGGTGGCGTTTATGCGTTGCAGAAAATTTTCGCAAATGTCTTCAGGCAGGGCTGAAACACACCGGCTCTTTAGGTCATAGATTATCGCCTCAAATCGCTGAAGACGATGGTGGACGTCAGATATAATCGCACTCAAAACACGGAATCCATATTTGCGAGCGAGTGACTTCCCAGCCTCATTGGGCAGTGTGGGTTTAAAGCGAAGAGACTTCGGAAGAATGCCACGATCGCGACAGCGGTGAAGGAAACTCAACTGTTCGAAGGTTGTCGCCTCTCTCTGCGCGAACTTCTCCCAACGTCTGGTAAGAATAAGCGTTTGACGCCCAAATATATGTTGAATAACTGAAGTAGTATGCATTCCGAGATGATATGATGAAAGAAGGAAGTCCGTCGGAAATAGAGTTTTACTCGTAAATTTTCGAGCTGGTTGCACCAATTCATACAATTCACACGCGAAGAAGCAACAGGGGACATCCTCCCTTTTCTTGACGTCAGTGTACAAAGACTGACTGATGGCAATCTCGCAACCAGCGTCCACAGAAAAGACTCCAGCGCCGAAATCATCCTCAACTACGGGAGTAATCATCCTGCGACCCACAAAAAAAGCTGCGTTCGAACTCTTTTTCACCGAGCCTTTCGGTACTGTAGCAGCCAGTATCTACTTAAGAGAGAGCAAGCCTACTTATACCAATTATTCCGATCTAACGGATATCCGATTAGCTTCGTGAAAAACTGTCTCAGACGTCAGAGGCAACCACAAGATCAGAGTTCAAGTGGAGAAGCGACACAGAGGAAATATTATTCCCTGCCCTACATGCGAGGAATTTCTGAAGTGATGGCCCGACAACTAAACCGGTTTGGCATCTGCATTGCCCACAAGCCGGCGTCCTCCTTACGCGCAGCACTATCCCGGGCAAAGGATCCCATACCCAAAGAGCAACAAAGTAACGTCATTTACCGCATCCCGTGCGCTAACTGCCGCTGCGTTTATATTGGTCACACGGGTCGACAACTTGGGACTCGCATTAATGAACACAAGTTAGCTATCCGCCGACGCGACCCCTTATCTCTCGTGTTTGCCCACGCTCTTGATTGTGATCACCGTTTCAATTGGGACGGTGCCGAAGTGGTCGCCATGGCCAACACTAAACATGCACGGGAATTCCTCGAAGCTTGGCACTCCGGTGCTGATAGCATTAACCGCCATGTTGACCTTGATGTCCATTACGAGGGTCTCCGATCACGGTGGACTGACTGGCGCCCACCTTAGGAACAACAACAGCTAATGCGTGCCCGGACATGCATGATCTCGCCGACACGCCATTCCTACCACCCTGCCCTACTCCCCCTCCCTCCCCCAACACGGTGAGCCACATCTTGGACCCACAACACCTATCCTCACCTCCCGCAGCCATCACAACACAATGCACACCTCCCCCTCACAAGGTCGTCTGCTTACCTCTCTGTCTGCGTCCTCAACCAGCAGTGTGACAATGCCACCTCTCACTTTTCCCTTTGTCTGACGACGGGTTGGTGCAACCAGCTCGAAAATTTACGAGTAAAACTCTATTTCCGACGGACTTCCTTCTTTCATCATATCATCTCGGAATGCATACTACTTCAGTTATTCAATATATATATATATATATCTACCAAATTCTAAATTCGACGTACATCTTAAATTCCAGCAGATGATAATGTTGGGTAATCACAAAAGGCAACGAAGTGCAGAAGATGCAATGTACTCCTTTCTAGATGTGATTCAATCTTGTGACACCTGCGGAAATTGTTAAGCGGGGTCAAACAGTAATATTGAGCAGGTGCTCTTTTTAGAAATTTTATCCAATGCAAATTCAAAAAATAATCCTCATATTAATTTAACGTGGGTAGATTTAAGGACCTTGGGCGGAACACCAATGTCTGCAGACCGTGCTACGTAAAACGCCAACCCGCCCGGAAGATATGAATTAAACGTCAGTTTGGGTAAGGCGACGACAATTTTGTAAGTTTATTTAATCAAAACGGTATTCGTTGACAAGAGTAAGACAAGCAGTAGAAAGTGAAAACAAGTATTGCGCTATTGTTACACCTAAAACTGCACCACACTCACCGGTAGGAGAAGTGGGTATGGGGCGTTCAAATTGACAGCAAAATTGACAAGCAAAATAAGCAGTATTTTGTATGAGGCATGAAATATTTATCACTTTGTTTCATGTTTATTTAGTTGTTTAAAAAATACGGAAAACCAAAGACTTTCATTAAGGATCATAGCATCACTCACTTTTCAAAAAAAAACTTATTCGTAGCGATTATTCGGGAAAACACATACTTTGATGAAGGGATTCATTTTACTGCTCTGTTAGTTCTACGGCCGATGTCGCATTAAAAATCAAATATCTCAATGTTTTCAAGGTCTAGTTTAGTGCCAGTTTTGATAATAAATATACGCAAAGGGCATCTTTCTTGCAAGAGGAACGCACAACACCCAAGCATTCACTAAATTTTCAAGGACGCCTTAATATTAGGCAGCCTCTATCATCGCGGTGAATAAAGTACACAATTTGCATCGAAAGGAGGCCGAGTATGCATTGTCTAGTTTCTCTGCATTAGGGCATACGACGCCTTGTACGGTTACAGGCTTCCTAACTATGGGGTCTAAAATTTCCCTTACCATGGTCATAAGGAAATCGACCAAGAAAAAGTGACATTTTCAACAAACTGAACACTGCATGACATTAAAAATCGCCATATATTTATATTACCTTTCCAAAGACGCCTAAAAGGTTTGTTTCAAAAAGCCCAGTCGAAATAAACACAGGCCTCACTGAGGAGACCAAAAGCTAGAATCTTACGGCTGGATTCTTTGCCAGGAAGTACAAAGGGAATGTTGAAGAACCCGGTGATTAGTTTACTTTCTTGCAACGGTCATATATCGATGTACCAACATTCCAGATGTTTGGGTTCAGAGCTTTATTTCATTTTGAGGATCCAACTTCCTCTGCCTACATAGATTTAAATCAATTTTTAATATTAAACTACATAGTTCATTGATTTGAAATTAGCAATTTTCTTCCAAATTGTCCTCTTCAGCAGTCCATCCTACTTCTTTTTCGTCTTGGTAGCATTTTCTAAAGTCGACCTTGCTCTAATGATACACTTTATTCGATAAATTTGGTCATTTGCTCAGGTATACAGAATCCTCTTGCGAATTGCTGTAGGTTTCATGGGTTTCGTCAGCTTATGCAAGCAGACCTGTGTTTAACCTCGTAATCAATGCACGACGCCTACACTTGGTTACAAACTAATTGTAATGCTTCGAAAAAATACGTAAACGATTGTAAAACTTAACGGAGCAACAAATGTACTCGGGAGCTTTTTTGAGGGAAAAAGTCTGCTGAGGCGCTTGTTTAAAACATTTCTCTGCCATTCACCTCCCAACAGGAGCCCTTATTACATTACAATGTTCGTATACCTTGAGACGGTTAACAAAAATTGTAAAAAATTTTTTTGTTCTGCAATGACAAGCCAGAACTATTAATGTGCAATGCGATATTATGTTTCCCGTGCCACGCTTACTATACAGCTGTTCACTCCTCCTCCTGTAGACGTGAACTGCAAAAGGTTCCCTACCATTTTCAGTTTATTGGCTACACTGCAAGTACTATTATTCTACGTCCACTAGGTAAAAGTATATGCAACAGTACGTGATGGCGGAAAGTAAGTTGCGCACTCAACGTTACAATATTTTTATAGCAACATTTAAGAGCGGCATTGACTGGAACAATGAATATATCTGACCGAATTTCAGACCGTCTCCATTTCTTTGAAGTTATTACGGTGGAACGCTATGCATAAAGAACAGTCATCCCTTTTGTGTATCTGCCGACAGCGCCACTCTCCCAAGTTAAGAGTGCCTCATCATAAGGGAACAGTTCGCGAACGAAAGGTTGTACCACACAGTATGAGGGAGCATAGGTGCATACAATCGATATGACTTCTATAGTTTACTACGCCAACCTGAGAGGCCACAGTACTGCTGCTAAGGAAACACTCAACTGTACTCCATTTGATGTCTATGGTGGCACAAACATTTCCAAAATATTGACGAGTTAAGTTCTTTGTGTGCACTGCCGACGTATCCAGACTTAAGGACACATAATATCTTCTGGCATGTAGGAGATGTGATGCGCATCCTGAAAGATTCACTACGGTCGTGGATTCCGCCCAGGAACCTACAGTTTAACTACATGCTGGACTTCTATGTTCTTCTTAAATTCAGTCCACACCCCCATCTGATTATGGCCGGAACAACCAACACTACTTGTTTTTGCTACCGAGACCGCAACGTAAATGCCTCCTTCCTATCATAACCCCTTGCCAGGTACTCTCTACCTGCTTCCCTTCATTGAGTTTTCGCAATCCCTAGTTTTAGCGCCAAAAGCTGCTCAAATTCAATTTTCCGGAGAGGATCAAGAGTGTTGCTGTTCTAGGGAGGTAACTACGACGATTAGTAGTCTGTGCAGAGATATTGGTAGTTAAGCAACTTTCGAGCATAAGGTTTTACATGCGTTTTAGAAGAAATTGATGGCTTTTATCCCTGGACTTCAGACAATCCTCTATGTGGATAATGGTTAATTTCATATAAAACTGCTCTCTCATGAATCAAACTCATGACGCAAAATAAAGATTTTAAGAAACTGCTGAGCGTTTTGCATCAACATTATTATAAATATCATCATACCTCTGAGGGGCTTTTCGCATTTTTGCAATCGCCTGTCTCTTTTCAACGTTTCGTCACCGGTAGGGATAAAATATTCAACATCTGCAAACATTTACTGAAAAGAATTATTTTCTTTTGCAATTCCGAAGGCCTGAGTCCACATCTCAAGATAAAGTCACGAAAATTCTCCAAACTCATCCACAAAAGAAAAGCCCTTCTGCTAACTTCGGTTTTAGTTCCTCTTGGCACTTTCAGCATTTCTAAGCACTTTCCTATGTTTAACCTAGTAGATCGTTCCCGATCGACGTTTCTTTAACAGTGTCTGGATGGCGTGCAATGTTCAACAAGCGAGAAAGCTTCATGCCTCCCCGTCAAACTGAATAATTAATATTTAGCACAAGAAACGCAGACAAATTGGTTCTAAAAGTTGCATTTCGCATGCAAACATGGACCGGATTAGCAATTACATTTAGCTCCGATACGTTTCGCGCCCTATACATTGCGTACAAAACTCTCAGGTCTTTGAAGATGAATAATCGAAATCGCCACTTGAAACGTAGAACACAAGTAAGCCCCTCCTGATGGGTGCCTCTTCAACTCTTCGGAAGCACTGGTTCTTGCGACAAGAGGCTCTTCTTTCTCAACGTGCTTGTTAAACACGCCTTTTCACTGGCTCGCATACTAGGCGAATTTGGTTTACAGAGCATGTGAGAATATTCGACCTTTGGAAATCGACTAGGCGCCTCCTCGTACTTTTACTATATTTGTGGAGATGACGCCTGATCAAGGGCAGACATAAGTGTGCGCTTACAGTCGTGATTTAAGTGCCCTGCTTTTCTCGCTGGTGTAAGACGGTTATGATCGAT